TTCGTCAATGTATCTTTGGACTCTCGCCAATTGGCGAATGTCCACTGCACTTTCGGTAGTGTGTGAGCATCGTATGTCAGTCAAAGGCACACTAGTATAAAGTATATATATATATTATATAATAGAAAGAAGAAAAGAGTTATCCTTTGCCAAATTTACACAACACATCTGCTGCTATTCGGCAGATGTCCCTCGCTACTTATACAAGAAGACCAACTTAAATTCAGAATAGGGTCGGAGTGAATCATCATCGAAACTAACAGAGGGTAGCTTACGCGTGAATTACAAAGATCTTCATCGTCTACACTAATTACTGAAAACAATAAGATGTATTGTGACGCTCTCAGTCCTCACATGTGTCCTTGATTTATATTCTTCTGTGAAGATTGGCGAAATTCCATCGAACTTTTGTTGATACTTCTTCCCGGACTCTCGCCAATTGACGAAAATCCACTGCACTTTCGCCATTACACTCCCTGAACTCTCGCCAATTGGCGAAAATCCGGTGGACATTCGCCAAAACACCCAGGGACTTTCGCCAATTGGCGAAAATCTGATGGATATTCGTCAATATATCCCTAGACTTTCGCCATCGGCGAATGTCCAGTTGGCGAAAGTCTTAATGGCGAAATTCAGGAACCCCGTTTTACTTATGAGAGACTATTAATAACTATAATCGTTATTGTAAAAATGAAAAAAAATTAGGTATGATTTTTAAAAAAAGTTTACTCAAAAAGTCGGTTCTTAACATTCAGTGATTAAGACCGAATTCTACCTATATTTTTAATGCTTTGACTGTCAATCATACGAAGGAGACAAAGTAGTTGAGCTATGGTTGAGTAATGAATGCTATTTGATTGATTCGTAATTTCTATGTGAAGTGAGGAATATTCCTTCAGTTTACATTTTTGGCTTTCTTAATGTTCTATGGAATTAATCACTCATTGAAATATGAGAGTCAATGCCTGTTGTTTAAAACAATCAAATAAAAGTTCATTAGGCTTACAGATATATATTTTCCAATAGAGTAATTAAAAAATTTAACTTTTAAATTAGGTATCACCCTTTAAGATAAAAAACATTTTAAAAAAGAAGTCTAAATTTAAACAAATAATGGGTGGACCATAAAGAATTACACTGGTAACATTCTTTCAAAATTTCTCTTCTATCGTTCACGTAATTCTAAAACTTCTTCGATATTTTTGGATTAGGCCTCGTCTTACATTGAAACTAAATGTAAAAATGTAAAATCTTTTCTTTTTCTTCGTTTTTACTGATGTATTTTAAGTCGTATATGAATACTGGCTTTGTTGTAATGTGATCACAGCTAATCGTTCCATAAATTATAATTTCATGTATATAAACAAGACGAATTCGATCAGCAACGGTTGAAGA